ACATCCCTGCTCTTTTGTTTGGATTTCATTTGCAAAACCATTTAGAGTTATAAAACTGTCAACTTAAGAACATTCTATATATTTTGCCAGTGAGGGCCTCATGTATGCAGAGTTTATATTCTTCTCTCCATTTTGTGTGCTGTTTGCATTCTCCAGTATATATCATTGTTCTTCAGGTTGGACATTAGAATCAGCCCCATGGCTTTCTTTAGAGCAGCGGGAATCTTCAAAGTAATTATGAAGTGGTGTCTCAGGTTGGTCATTAGATAAATGAATGTAGAAGATGTGCAAAGCACAGTATCTCGCCCTTGGCCAAGCCGAGCCCAGCAGTGTAGTAATAGAAGGCTCTGCTGATGTTTAAAAACATATGAAATTTAGAAGGCCTGACTGCAACTAGAATTGAGTCATACATCTAAACATTAGAAAACATGGACCAGAACTGTTATGTTAATTACAGTAGTTAAAGCATTGTATGGCAGTGTTTTAACTATGTATGGCAGCTTTCTGAACTCTGATTCCCTAAAATAACTACCAGCTGAGAGTTGAAAAATGCTATGCAAACTGTATTATTTTGCTTGCCATGTTTCTCTCCTGCAGAATTCCTCTGACAGCTAAGCTCAGCTTTACATTGTGTGGAAGTTATAGGGCCCAGGTCTATCATTCTACACAACAGTCCATCTCTCGTGGACTTGCTAGGTGCCTTAATTCCAAAATAAGCAACCACCACCAACACCTTGTTGTGTGCTGCTTTTACAGTGATATCCTTCAGTGTGGTCTGTTGAAATACAAGCAGGTTTTATAGAGTATTTTTACTAAACAGTCAACAGGTTTTGATTTAGGGTCTTAAATCATAATTGTTTTTCAATTTTCTGCTCTGCTTCCCAAAAGCATAATGAGGGCATACCTGATGCTATAAAAATCAGATGTCATTTCAGTGTTCCGGGACTGTGTGATAAGTTTGGAAAGCTTAAGAGTTAGTATCATAGATGTATAGTCAATCAAGGGAGCTCGCAAGAACAGAAAGCATGTAAAGCACTGCTAACTAAATAAGGTTTGGGCATGGGTTACACTTTAATTTCAGAGATTTTCAAAATGCTGAAATATGGATGGAATTCCTACCGGTCATGTTTAATGAGACAGAACTAATTGCACTTGGTCATTGTGATTGGAAAAGCAGCAAGCAGACCTGAAAGAAAGCTACATCGTGTAATTTGTGCCAGCTCTTAGAAATGTTATTCCTTTACCTTTCCCCTTCAGACAAAACATCCTAAACCAGAATGTTCAGTGGGAGCTGAACTGTACCTGAGATACAAGTGGAGCTTTATAGTACTTGTTTCTTTAAGCAAGTTCAGATTCTGCATACAGGTGTTCAAAGGTCTATTCATGGAAATTATTATTAAATTTACAAGAATAATAAGTTCACAGAAATTGTCACAATCTAAGTCACCCATCTCTGGTTATCACTAGGCATAAAGTCAAATGCAAAGATCTGTAATGTCCATCACATTCATACCTTATTTTTTGTTAAGACGTCTCTCTTTTCATAACCAAACTTAAGGTCCAACTCTCTGTCTCCCAAACCATTTATCCTACTATAAAGCAAATCAAGTGGCAAGACATGAGCTGAGGTTGTTGATACCCTTGTGCTCAGCTGTTATGGTACAGGAGAATTGCGGGGTTGCTTGTGTTCTGGGCAATGCTGTGGGTGTCTATTTTAGGGTTGTTGAATCATGAATGAAAACATTCTGCTGAAGAAATGAATCCTGCCCACTCCATCTTCCTGAGTGTCTCCTTCTGGGTCTCATTCATGGCAAATTGAAAGTTGCATGTTCCTGCATATGTGTGTGTGTAGTTGAGCGTAGGTAAAAGTGTGTAGGAAATACATTCTGGAATATTTTACTGGGTTTTTCTAAAGGTGTTATTATAGCAAACTACAAGTGCTGCTGGTTTTATTTAATAAGAAATTAATGAATAGAACTTTTGTTGAGGTCTGGGAGAATATTGAAGGTTTCAAATCAGAGTGCATATACACAAGGACATTAATTCCCTCTAGGTATAGATCCTGTTGGACTCCAGAGCTAAAGCTAATGACAACTTGTTGGTAAAGAGGTATGGGGGTTTTTATGTGTTTTGATGGCTTTTTGTTTGTAACAAAATTTGAGTTAAACATAAGGATTCCTGTTTGACTTGTAAGGAAAGCCACCTTTCCTAGGTATTGATAACCATGGATTTTTCATTTAATTACTAGTGTTCTGCTTCACCAGCCTTTCCCATAAGTGGGGGAAAATTGTACCTTCTCCAACTGTATGTTTAATTATGTTCCATTTTTGAGTCAGAATGGGCATGTAACAAAGAAGCTGACAATTTGAGACTGAGCAAACTAAATGTACTCAGCTGAATGAATCCAGTACTGTGACATGAATCACTGGTGTAAATAGGAAAGGAGATACCTTGAAGCTTTACAGTATTCAAGAAGTGTCAGATCATATTCATTTGAAAGGGATAGCAGCATTCTTTTTCCACCAGCACAGACACCAGTATTGTGTTTCACCCAAGATGGGCTACCCAGGTGGTTAGCAGACCCTCATGTTTGCACTTTTGTCATTGAATTGCAGCATTTTTGGAATAGGCATTCCACTTGTTCTGTAGATTCTCAGGTATTTCCCTTCATAAAGATTTTGATAAGTGAGATTAAAACAATATGTTTGTTCTTCCACCTTTAAACTCATTTCATCTACTTTGCTGACTGTTGCAAAACCTTATATATTGCTTTCAAAAAGCTTTTTTACCAATAAATGTGGCTGTAAGGATGATTGGCATGAGCTGTTAGGAGCTCTTGACTATGGTGAAGATGTGATTTGTTTTTGAGGACAAAGTACTCCTGTTGATCTGGACTATCAAGACTAGCAGAAATGTGAGAAATAGGTTCACATTGGTTCTATTTTGTTGTATCCAAGTCGTCAGAGCAACATGGGATTCTTCCAGATCTCTGTACTCAAAGGAGGAGTCTGAAGGACTGGGTTACTGTTTAGGGAATCCCCTTTAATAACACTGGCGTGACTGAAACACTTTGACAAGTCTTGCCTTGAGTTGTGACTGCCAGAATATCTGTGTTTGGTCAGAACTTCTGAATGAGAAAACACTTCTATGTTGTGTGTTTGAAAAGAACACATTCCATTGACAGTAGATGCTGTGGAAACTCAGACCCCTGAGCTTCTGAAAAATGCATTACTGAACAAAAATACCCTGCACTCTGCTTT